TTCCTGTTCTTGTTGTTCTAGTGTTTGCTCCTGTTGTTCTTCTTCTTGTTCTAGTTGTTCTAATGGTTGTTCCTGTTCTTCTTGTTGTTCTAATGCTTGTTCCTGTTCTTGTTGCTCTAGTGTTTGTTCCTGTTCTTGTTGTTCTAGTATTTGTTCTAGTAGTTGTTCTAGTGTTTGTTCCTGTTCCTGTTCTTCTTGTTGCTCTAGTGTTTGTTCTTGTTGCTCTAGTGTTTGTTCTTGTTGTTCTAGTGGTTGTTCCTGTTGTTCCCTGTTATCCTCGTCATGATGGGTTTCTAGCACATTCTTGTAATCCGCGTCATTATGGTATTCGTTGTCATAATGTTCATTATCATAATATGAATTCATTAAATTATCCTGTGTTGGATATCCCTGAATATATTTGACGTCTTCATTGGTACTTGTTAATTTTTTAACTATTACTCCTAGAATTGTATTAAGCTCATTCAATACGTACATCTTAAACATGTTCAGGGGTCCTGACACTTTGTTCATAAGTTCTCCCATCGCTCCTTTTCTATTATTGAAGTCATACTTCATAAGCATAAAAAGTTCTTGTGCATTTTGAACCACTGACTGAAAATGGTTTAAAAAAAAGAAAAAAAAAGAAAAAGAAATGCGCTTTTTAGATCAATTGAGACAGACAAAATGAATCAAAGTATGCCCACGTGTATGTGCTGCATATGTAGACGCGTGCTTATGCACACAAACATTTTCCGTGCACCTTTTCAACTTACTCGATAATAAATATTTAGTAGAATCCTAATGGACAGAAGAAACAGGGTGATATAAAAAAAAGCAGCAAAAATATTCTCCTGTGAAATTGCATCTAAATTGTTATCTCTAACTAGCCCTAACGACACAGGGAAAATATCTGCACTATATTTTTGTACATCTTGAAGCTTCTCCATATTTCTGTGTATTTTCTTTAGTCGGAAGAGGAAGCATTCCTTAACAAAATTAATTCGCACTATGTTTCGACGCAATATGCAATCCTCTTTGCATATATTTTTATACTGCGTGTATCTAACTTTATTGGTGCGACGAAAAATTATAAAGTGCACTTTTCTCTAATATGTTGCAGAAAAATGACAACACAAATACCGCAAATTATAATAACTATCAAATGACTTGATAATGCATATTTTATTTAACCTTATGTTACATTGCCAAATGAAAACTGCACAACACGTATGGTGTAAATGAATAATTTAAGGTAAATTATTCATTCTGTTTTGCAGTTGTTTGCATGAAAAATAAACCATGAAAAATAAATAAAAGGAAAAAAAAAAAAATTAAAAAACCATAAAATAAACACTTTTGTGTATCAAAACATTGTTAGGGCACGATTTATTATTTTTGTATAGTTGTAAAATTTTAATGATATCAATACACTGTTGTTTGGGTTAAAACAAATTATGCTCCCCCTTTCACACTAATGGAAATTTTATAAATCTATTGGGGAAGAGAAAGCAACATCGGGATCAAAAGTGATTAAATTATTTACATAAACAAATATATGCATATATATATATATACATTCACATATAAGAACACGTATAATCTTAATTGTATCTGTACTGTTAATTATAATGCATAGGAAATTCCCGTTTTCCTAAAAGTTTTTATGAATTCACAAATATTCTTACAAATATTTCTAGGCAGAAATGATGCATTTTCCCGCATTCCAGGTGAACATTTTCCCCACCCCTAAAAATATATTGTTTGGATAATTTCTCGGGAAAAAGCAATCCACAACCCTTCATATATATAGAGAATAATCTTCCTCATGGCAAAAAGTGCTCTGAAAGAAGAATTATATAAAAAATAATTATATATTAAGATAAATTAATGTAAATGCATTTACTAAAAAATAATCATGCAACAAAAAAGAAAAAAAATAAAGATATAAATTGAGCTAAAAAAAAAAAAAAAAAAAAAAAAAAAAAAAAAAAAAA